CTCAGGCGCTTTGGAAAATAGCTTGACTTCCTCTTCTTTATGGCAGCCCCTGAGATATTGGAACACTGCTATCATGTCTCCCCTCTTCCTTCTCTTCATTAAACTAGACATACCCAATTCCAGCAGCCGTTCCTTATATGCTTTACCCTCCAGTCCCCTAATCATCTTTGTTGCTCTTCTATGTACTCTTTCTAGAGTCTCACCATCTTTTTTACATCATGGTGACCAAACCTGGATGCAGTATTCCAAGTGTGGCCTTACCAAGGCATTGTAAAGTGGTATTAACACTTCACGTGATCTTGATTCTATCCCTCTGTTAATGCAGCCTAGCACTGTGTTGGCCTTTTTGGCAGCTGCAGCACACTGCTGGCTCATATTTAGGTGATTGTCCACTAGGACTCCGAGGTCCCTCCGAGGTTACTACTATTGAGCAAGGTGCCACCTATGCTGTACTTGTGCATTTGGTTTTTCTTGCCTAAATGTAGAACCTTGCTTTTTTCACCATTGAATTTCATTTTGTTATTCATTTAACACAGAATTTGCCACATTTCATTGCTGTAACTTTCTTTCTTTCTTTCTTTCTTTCTTCTCTTGAACCAATAGAATAATAGGCTTCGGAAACATGCCTTTGAGCTGAAAATGAATGACTTGACATACTTTGTGCTGGCAGCTGAAAATGAGCAAGATATGGATGAATGGATTTCTACTCTCAACAAAATCCTTCAGATAAATCCAGAAGGGTCCATTCAAGAGAGGAAAAGTGCTGACATCAGTGATCTGAGATTTGGTAAGTAGATTTTTTTTAAATCATTTAGAATACAGAATTAAAAATTTAAACTTCATGAAGCATTATGTATTTAAATCTCCTGGCATTTTGAATCCCATTCCAAATCAATGTATAGTGTTAAATATTTTTTTTTATTTTTAAGCTGCAAAGATTCCCATAGTGCCAGCTTTTCCTGAATGCATTTTATTTTAACCATCTTTTATTATACATATTATGTCAGGAAAACATAAAGCATTCATACTCTAAAGATTTAAGGTACTATATGCAATAAGTTTGTCCTGTGATTCAAAATGTCTCTGTAAGACACAATGGAAGAAATTCATGTCTTTCATAAGAACCATACTTTACAAAACGTTATTTCTCTTGTTCGATCCTTTTGACACTAAAGAAATTTATTTTATAAAAAGTTCATATGAATAACAGTCCTATGTTCATTGACTTTTATAAAATAAGTTTACTAAAATGCTTTGTATTATGACTGGTTTTTTTAATGTACATCTCTACCTGCTTGAGGATTGTCCTTTTTTCTGCAAAGTCATGCTATAATTGCAGAACAGAAGATACACGATTCAAATAAGCATACACGTCAGTCCCCACATATCACAGTGTTTCTCATAAAAACCTTTGGAAGCACATAATCTTTCCTCTTTTGTGTGTATTTAAGATTCCGAAGACATTTGCCTGAATTATGACCACCCTGAAGAGGAAAATGATTCTTCAGAGAATAACTTGCATCCAGATATTACTAAAGTAAGAGATTATTCTTGTTACAAGGTGAAAAAACCTTTGTATATTATAAATATTGTTATGCCACATGAAAACTTGAAAATAAATTTCAAGCTATAGCATTTAAAAGCATACTACTACTGTATGTCACACAAAAAAGCAGCTATCTTTTTGTTGTGATGATATATCCTAGTGCTTTACTTTTACTAGCCATCACATTTTAGGGTGAAAATATTAGAATTAAAAATGACATCAGATCATTGGAACTAAGACAATGATTACAAAGCCAGTTTGGTATAGTAGTTAAGACATCAAACAAGAAACCAGGAAATCTTGATTTCTAGTCCTACCTGAGACAAAAATTGGCTGGGTGATCTTGGGCCAATCACTTTCTCTCAGCCCCAGAAAGCAAGTTGTGTGGCAAACCACTTCTGAAAAAGTTCCCAAGAAAACTAAAGAATTTCTTTAGGCAGTTTCCAAGAAATCAGCACTGGCTCAAAGGCATGTGTGGTATACAGTATGTGTGTGTGTGTGTGAGTGTGTATGTATGTGTGTTTATTTATATATATATATATATATATATATATATATATATGCATTTGTGTATGTACAACAATATGTAATTATCTGTCTATATATTTAACTTATCTATCATCTATCTGTCATCCATTTATCTATCACAGTGATTGTTTGTATATCAAAGAATTCTTATCTTTGCAGTACCTCACAGAAACAGAAAGAAGTGTTCAAGAATCTCGGAATGTAGACCGGCTAAACCTTTTCTCTTTAGACCCTGACATTGCTGTAAGTAAAGTGTTTCTTTTAACTGCCAGATAAAGTTGAATAAAAGCAAGCAGCATAGTGAGTTAATTACCAGCCATGTAATTTTAATTGTTTTTCTTGCATATATTTCTACTTTAAGTCATTCTGTACAGCTAGCTTCCAAGGATAGAAATTTACTCTTGACTGATCATACATCTGTATCCCAAAACAGTCTATTTTCTTCTACCTTTGTAAGATTCTTTGTATATTGATTTCAAAGAGCTAATTATCTCAATGTCCAATTCTAGAGCTCGAACACTCAAAGAAAGGAATTCACAGAAATGGATCGATTGCTCAAACCTTTTGAGGAGAAAGAGACAAAGCAAATCATGATAACATGCAAATCGCTTAATCTGAATCTTCAAGCTTGTGTTTCTGATAATGAAAATGATCCAGTTACCAACGTAAGTTTGAAGCAGGTTGCAGAAGTCTGTGCCTCTCCACTTAAGCACAGCGTGCTCTAAATATCAGTTGTTGGGAGCTACGCTTAGTGAATTTTCTAGAACCATTTTGACAATCATAGTGGTCTGATCTAGTGGGGATTTTATGTTCCTATGTGTTCTGCTGGTAATTTTAAGTAAAGTGAGCAAACAAGGAGTCTAAAAGCAAAGATCCATGTTGTCATTATGCTAAGGATCTTGACATGAATAACAAAAGGTCAAGCTATTCAATTATATGATACACTGTAATATCTAATAACATTCATCTCAGTGAATATAGGATAACAGCCTCTTTTTCCAGAGAATGATTTCTGGATTTTATATTAAAATGACAAAAAAACTAATATCTGTTGGAGAAAAGGATTGTTTGTTATAAAATATTGCAAATTAAAAAATGGGGAAAATCAGAGTACTGCTAAATATATCACTTGTCAATATTATATTTAAAAGAAAAATGCAATGGATGGAACTGCTTACATTCTGAACAATTTAGCTTCCATTGCTTTCGGTCAATTTATTGATTTCATTCATTGGCAGACACCAGCAGCTATGTTTTAAAGACTAGTCAATACTGTTTTGCTAGGAAATAAATAAATAAAGACTGAAAATAATTCTACAATGAAAATGGAAAAAGTACATAAATGAATGGAATTCAGGCCAGGATGGTGTGTTGAGAAAATTCAGAAAGAGATAATAGCTTTTTCTTAACTGCAAAGCATACGATGAAGCAGGCAATATTAATATATTACAAAATCAAAGATAAATATACCATGATTCAGTTTAGTAAATTAAGATACAAACAAATATTTCCTCTGTGCATTTTGTCCCCTATGCATTTGTATGAGTTAAATAAGGAAAAATATTTAAATCTCAGTTTCCAAATTAGGAACCTGGCCTACCAAATTAATAGCAAATCAGTAAATTAAATGAACTCAAAATGGTGGTTAACTTGTAGTTTTCTTCAAAGTTCACATCTGTTTCTACAATTTGAACAAAGTGCCATGTTCTTAGATTGATAACCATATTTTCCCAATTTGAATCCTTCTTTGTTTCTTTATGAAGGAGCAAAGCGGCTATATGTTATCTGAATGTCTTACCCTGACATTTGAACATCTTAAAGTAGCATACAGTTATATGCAGTACTCTAATGAATTCACAGCTTAGGAAACTCATTAAACTCAGTAGACATATTTGAGATATATTCCAGTGTTTTTTTTTATTACTTTTTATATATATTATTTAATGTTGTTATCTTATTAACTGTGATTTTTAATATGTTATTAGCCACTCAGGATCATATTTGTGACATGGATGGCCACACAATCAAACAAACAAATAAATAAATATTTTGTTTACAGATTGAGCCCTTTTTTGTGAGTGTGGCTCTTTTTGACTTAAGGGACAACCGAAAGCTCTCTGCTGATTTCCATGTGGACCTGAATCATACTATTGTTAGACATATGATGTCATCCTCATCAGAAAATGGAACTGTTGAAACAACTGGCAACAAAGATGAAGAACCTCAGGTTAAAGGATTTCCAGAAGAGTGGCTGAAGTATCCCAAACAGGTAAAAATCTGTTTCGTTCATAGGTATCTGTTTTGTGAACATCAACTGAAAGTTAATAGTAAATCAAATTGTATGTCAAGGTTATTTGAATTTGAATGATTGCAAAGCAGTAGGTGGGTAGCTACAAGTACTGTTCCCCTTCTATGAGTAATTTCTGATTGTTTTTGAACTGTAAATCCCATTATTCCTATCTGGAATGTTAGTAATCCTAGAGTACACCAGATTGGAGAATATTTTTTCCAAAATGTCTAAATGCTCGCTATCCCACATAAGATCAACATTTCCAAATAAAGACATGAGAGAAAATATGGAATTATTGTTATCTGCAATCAGAATAAAAACTCCTTACAGTCTGCAATTAAAGTGATTAGAAAGATTACATTTGTCATCAGGTTTTTAAAGTGGGCCTCTTCTTACCTCTTTAGTGTATAATCATCCATTATCTGATTCTTGCTGCTTATGTAAAGCTTTTTAGAGTAAAAGTCTACTGCTTCATGAAGAAGGACGTTAGAAATTTCTATACCATCAACTGCCCTTTTAATATTCTATGCATCATTCAGCCATAGGTTTCAAACTGCGTGATATTGTCAACTTCTTAATAAAATATATCCAGTCAACAGAATGACTGATAAAATCCTCATTGCTTATCAAAACTCTTTCAGGATGCTGCAGGCAGTAGCACATTTTGAAGCAAATGATTAGTAGCTACTTCTCTCATAGCCTTCTATAATTCCCTTTTATGTCATGTTTCCTCCTCTAAAAATAGAATAAAATCTCCATCAGTGGAAGCAAATTGCTCTAGAGTTGGAAATTTTGTTAGAAAAAGGCAGAAGTTTGGGGATTAAGGCAAATTAGAGTTGAGGACATTTTTATGTTGTAGAAAAATTCTTTAAGTAAAATAACTTGTTTGTTGTATCTAGATTGCTACTTACTGATTTTTTTTTTCTACCCTCAGGGAATTTTCTCCATTAGTAACCCTCATTCTGAAATTGTTTTTGTGGCAAAAATTGAAAAGGTCCTCATGGGAAATATTGCTACCAGTGCAGAACCTTATATAAGAAACTCAGAGTCTAACAAGGTAATGTAATTGGGAACATAAATGGCTTTCAAATCCTAAGGGTCAAATTAACTATTGACAAGAGAAGCCATCTCTGGAGACAGCATTGGCAATCTATAGAAGCAGGAATCATTTCTGTTTGTTTATGCAATCTGCTTGCGCTTCTTCTCATTTTCACTTGAAAGAGTCAATTCTTTCATTGTGGAAGTTAAATGCTTTCAAAAATAATGTAAGCTGTGCTAATGTCAGCCTTACCAGGTAGACCTGACAGAAAACATGACCAGATGAATTAATTCTACTTTATTGTAAAGCTACATTAAAGTGAAAGTACAATTCTGCCCCGTTTCCTTTACACCTAGAGCCGGGTTAGGCAACCTCGGCTCTTTTATGACTCATGGACTTCAACTCCCAGAATTCCTGAGTCAGCTATGCTATGCTGACTCAGGAATTCTGGGAGTTGAAGTCCATGAGTCATAAAAGAGCCGAGGTTGCCTACCCCTGACCTAGAGAGATTAGGGAAGGTTTTTCCTGAACCTTTTGCTCTGCCCACTGTTCAGCTGCAGACTATGCTATCTCTTATCTAACCACTCCCTAGGTAGCACCTTTGGGCCCAGACTCCCAAGGTCATTCCCACATACCATTGCAGGTAAATATCTGACCTGCAGATAGAGAACTTGTGATAGGTGATTTTACCTATTCAGGTGCACTATTTGAGAGTAGACATCTCTCCTTTTTTTTCTATGAATAAGCAAAAAATGAAGTCAGTATAATAGAACCAATTGCCCTGGAGATTAGTTGGTTTCTCCATCAGGGGTATCTTCAGGAATCTTATGTCATTTTCAATGCTATACTATTTATATATGTACAACTGTATTTAAATCACAGCTAATTGGGATTTAACCAATCTATTACTTCTTCCTCTGCTTATGTTGCATCATTTTATATTTTAAACTAGCTGTACCCGGCCACACGTTGCTGTGGCTCAGTCTGGTTAAATGGAAAAGAAAGAAAAGAGAAAGCGCACGTTTGTAATATGTTTACGTCCAACAGATGGCGCTGTTTTTCAAACAAAGCATGTTTTACCTGTCACAGGTGTGACATCTATATATTATAGGTATATAAAAACACGCGCATATTTGAATGGAACGTTGTGTCAAAATTTCAAAGCAATCGGTGAAGAACTTTCGGAGATTTAAGATTTTGAACAAACGAACATTTACATTTTTATTTATATAGATTTACTTCCTAATTTTTAGCATTTGTTGCATATGTGCTACTTCTGCTTTTATCTCAGCAATTTAAGCATTGAGCTTTTGTGCTTTCTGTTCATCACAAACAACTTTCATAAAACTTGAAAAAACTGGTCCATGTGAGACATCCAAGTTCATCATGAAAGATGTCTGCTATTGTTCAAAGATTTTTCAGTGCTAAGTATCAGGAATATCATCAGGTTGGAATTATCTGGCAACCTGCCGTGCTGCTCTAGTTCTGTTTTTTCTGCATCATTTTAAGTTGCTAGGTGGCCTAGGAGATCTTTTCTAATAATGATACTATAGTGCTTCATCATCAAAACAAAGTCACCAATGGTCAAAAGTTAAATTATTCTGAATAGAGTCTGAAATGATCTTTCTTTAACTCTGTCTTTGATTTTATCTAGTGGGCCCTGAAAGTATTAAAATCCAACAAACAGTTTTGCAACAAGTTGGGAAAATATCGGATGCCTTTTGCTTGGTCTGTACGGTATGTAATTACCAAATACCTATCAATTATTAGCAATTTTGCACCTGGTTAGAAATTATAAAATACATTGGTTTATACAAGGCACAATATTCCCTATTTTGATATTCATACTTGAATTGAGATAGTTTCTAACAGAAAGTGAAATAGTAGTATTTGCTGTTCACTAAGGGAAATCATATTTGATTTCATTCTATATTTTTGGTATTTATAATAAGGAAAAAGATATACTTTGATACCAGTAAAATAATATTTTTCACACATTGGCAACTTAACACTATGGAGTGTCCATTCATCAGCATTATACAAGCTTGTGAGAAATTGTAACAGCTAGGACAGCACCTAACAAACCTTATGTGGCTCAGAAATTAAGCAAAGTCAGGTTATTATTTGGGTAGTATATTACTAGGAAACACTAGGGATGCAGGTCTGTTACTGGTCTAGATGTACGTTTGCTATTGAACACGACTTGAGTGGCCTATTCCTATCAAACTAGAGAAGTAAAAGCTAGAACTCTCTTGGTACCAAAGCAAACCTCTTAGATGGTTGGAAGAATAATAATGCTCTGCTGTATCTCTTTACTGACAACTAGCAATAGCACTTAGACTTATATACTGCTTCATAGTGCTTTACAGCCCTCTCTAAGCGGTTTACAGAGTCAGCATATTGCCCCCAACAGTCTGGGTCCTTATTTTACGGACCTCGAAAGGATGGAAGGCTGAGTCAACCTTGAGCCGGTGAGACTCGAACTGCCAAACTGCTGGGTAGTAGTAATAGCAATAGCAACAACTCTTCTTTTATCTCTTACCTTCTTCCTTCTGTGTCTGCTTTGGGCTAGGTCAGGACTAAAAGAAATCTACAACATAAAGATATATTTTATAATTATATACGTTTCTGTGGCTTTATTTCATGTGATCAGGACTGTTGAAGGCATGAAATGAGGAGCAAGGTGAAGTTGGTGGGGCTTCATGCCTGCAGGTGGCTGCTTCATATTAATAATACTACTTTCAATAGTGCAATCACTTAACATCCAATAACATTTTTGTGACAAGCTAATATGTTTTCCAACCCCTGGTGCCCATGAAGCACCTGAAGACAAATCACAGGATAACTTCTACCTTTTGGACTGAATGAATATTAATACCTTGTTGATATTTCTGCGATACATTTTTGTTTATTTGTTTGCTTGCTTGTTTGTTTATTAAATTGATATGGTGCCCATTTCACTTTGCAAAGTGACTCAGGGCAGCTTACAATTAAAATAAAATATATAAATTAAGCCTGGATTAAAGATATCAAAGTGGAGTTTTCCTTTACAAAATCTTACCATCTAAAAACATTTTTTTCCATTAGACACACACAACATACTACAGAAAAATTGGCCTAACTGATGAAAAGCAGAAAGCTTGGATTGCGAATTTGGCTTCCAATGTTTAATTTTTGACATCAAACACTGTTCTTGTTTTAAATGTTTTCTTTTAAACAAGCAAACCAAATGAAATAACATATATTGGACAGTTTTAGAACAATCTTTATATAGCCTCTCAAGACCCCTGATTTTACAGACTTGGAACTGAAAGTCTTTTATATTACAATGGGCATTTATATATCCTGAATTTGGGACTGATGCCATGTGTATTTTCCTGAGAGGCAATAATTACAACATGCCTTAGCATTACACTGTGACAAGTCAGTCTTCCATTCTCATATTCCTACCACAGCTGCCAGAGTTTGCAAATACGATTTGGACATGGAAAGTTGATTTTCCCACAAAATATTTTCCACATATCCTTTCCATTCTATTATTCTCATTCAAAAAGATTTAGAATCCTGTCTGCAAAAGATCTTAACAATTTGCAGAATTAGAGTATTCTTTATGGCAAATACGTATCCTCCAGTTCAACTGTGGTTTTGGTTTTCAGTAATAGAGAACCTTGCTCTATATTTTAAAAGGAAAAGCTTAAAAATAAAAGATGAAGAATGAAATCAAAATTCAGGAATTAATGGGACTGGAAATTCACCTTCATGGAAACTAATTTTTTAATCTACATTTTTTAAATATAAGTACTTATTTTGGATGTTATCCAAAAGTTAGGCCATAACTATCCCTTTTTTTTAGCACAATTTGAGTACAGGTAGTTTTTGATTTACAATCATTCATTTAATGACTGTCTGAAGTTACAAAAGCACTGAAAAAAGTGACTTATGACTGATTTTAACACTTACAATCATTGTAGCATCCCCATGGTCACATGATCAAGATGAGGGCACTTGATAACTAGCATGCATTTATGACAGTTGTACTGTTCTGGAGTCATATGGTCACCATTTGCACCCTTCTCAGCTGGCTTCTGACAAGCAAAGTCAATGGGGGAAGCCAGAGTCACTTAAAACCATATGTTTCACTTAACAACTGCAGTGATTCACTTAACGACTGTGGCAAAAAGGTCATAAAATGGAATACAACTCAGTTAATAACTGTCATGCTTAGCAACAGATATTTTGAGAGCTCCATTGTGTTTTTAAAGTGCTGTTGTAACTTCAGATGGTCACTAAATGAACAGTTGTAAACCAAGGACTATCTATAGTCAGCGTGGCTAACAAAAATTTAAAAATAAAATAGAATCTAAAAAGTTAATACATCCACTGAAACTACCAGTAAAGTTAATGCTGGTACTAGAATGGCTGAGTTGATAGTGGGATAGACTTTGTTCTGGAGATCAGCTTGACAGTTTCCACTACTACTACCAGCCTTCCAGATATACCTCAGCTGGCAACCTCACCCCAACCACAATCTGTGTCAGAGAGAGAGGGCTCTCATTGTCTATGCTGCTCATGATTAAAACAGCCAAAAGGCAACAAGTTTAATAATTTCTATATTGTAATCTATGTTTTACTAGATGGTTAAGATCTTCCTTCTCCTCTAGGATGTACTAGTTTCACTGTTCTGTAAATCTGCTTGTAAATCTATATAAACAAGGTTACTAGATTTAAACAAAAATTAAAGACATAGGACATCTTTTGGCTGGAACAGTTATCCATTTGTTCCCAAACTAGCAAGCTTTCTGAAGCAATATAATCTTCTGCTTTCTTTATTGGATTTCGTTTTTTATGGAAATTCCAAAATTTAAAGGCTATATTGACTTCTTAGTCTGTGCTTATCAACCTCCAGTCCTAGCATTTTCTCAATACCTTCTTCAAGTCCTACTGTTTTCATAAAGATAAGTTTGAGGAATAAGATAAGGAATATTTTCTTCTGCCAGTTTTTAAGGGGACTATATTTTCAACAGTGCCAAATTTAATTAACAATTAAAAATATAGGAAAGTGTCGTTGCAGTCAGTAGGAAGGTTTAGGCCCAAAACAGTTTCTCAGTCAGTGCTTTCCACAGGTCCAGAGAAGGTCCTTTTCCAATTGCAGGTAGACTTCGAAAAGGGTCGGGGTGGGAGAGGTGGCGGACAAATTAAGAAGCCTCTCCTAAAGGCTTCAACAGCTGCAGAGGTTGAAGCAGATAAGAGATTGAGAAACAAACCATAAGTTATTTAGAGCTTCAAAACTCAACACTAATTTCTTAAACAATTCCCAAATTGTCAGTGACAACTGCACAGAAGTTTTGTGACAGGCAGTTATATGTATGTATGTATTTTGTGAATTTATCATGAGTTAACGGTCTGAAGGCTACATTTTTTATTGTCGGAAGACATGGCTTTATCATTGTGCCTGAGAATTCACTGGTAATATGGATCTTGTTAGCTAGTTGCATTGTTAATCATTGTATGGATTGTACTCTCCTGTATATTCACTTCTTAATTATTGTGATTGGTTTTTATTGCTTTTCATTGTAGTGGTTTTCTTGCGACTATTAATGTTTTCTGTTTTTAAAGTTATAAGCCACCCAGAGTTGACGTATGTGAGATAGGAGACTATATAAATTGAACAAATAAACTAATAAATACGTTCCAAATTTCAAGACTAACAAACCTATTTTAAATGTGTTGGATAAAGTGGATTAAATCAAGGCATTGAGAATCATGCCCAACCTGACTGGCTCAGGAACTGTTACTGCTAACGCATTAACCATAATTATGCTCACCACAGAGTCTGCCTATGACACCAAGAACCAAATATCACTCCACGGCTGCTGATCTGCTCTTTCCCACTCAGTTTCCAGAATAGATCATTTATCAAGCAGTCTCAGTATCCTGATAAAAAGACAAACTGAGAAGGGAAAAAAACAGAGTTTGTACAATGTACATAAAGAAAAAGTGTAATATTAGATCATTCTCATGATTCCCAATACTTTTAATCAGAAAAAGATATAGATTTCCAAATGCAATAAGTGGCATTTTTTCTAAGAATAAATACAACTCAATCTTATTGAATCCCACTGGGTTCAGTGAGATTGGTTCCCAGGTAACTATACATACAAGTAACTTTAGTACTATTCTCATCTATGAGGGCCATGGCTCTTGATTTACTAATGTTATGTTTTAATATGTGACAATTGTTGAATACTGTGGAAACAATATTACCATCACTATAAAGTTCAAATTGTTCATGAATTGGAAGTAGTTAAACAAAACCCAATAATAATACAAGTCTATGGAAACTTACTTTGATGTCATTTTCATGGTGTTTCACATTGGTGTTATTGTGTTTAATAGGATATTACTGCCCCATTTAATTTCTGGAACATGAATAATTAAGAAACTATGGAATTAGTAAAAAACCTTGACTAGTTTTTACTAGTGTGATAAAGCTTTGGAAATGATTACATGAGAATTAATCAGCAAGTGATTAATTTATCATCTATTGTTTTTACTTCCTGACAGGCCTGTCTTTAAGGATAATCAGGGAAATATTGACAGAGATTCCCGGTTTTCACCTTTGTTCCGACAAGAAAGTAACAAAATTTCAACAGATGATTTAATTAAACTTATAAGTGAATACAGAAGGTAAGATGTCCTTGGCTTAAGTTTCTAAGACTACAACATAGTACTAACTACTATTCATCAATAGCTTTTTTTGCTCAAAAGTGCCAATGGCAAAATAACTTATTGCAATGGAATAGTTTTCACATTAGTTACTTCTCTGCCAAAGTGAGCTTCCAGAAAACTTATCCAAGAAAACTGGAGAAGTGTTTCATACAGTAAAAAATATAATGGCTGCCTGAGGAAAAGAAAAAACAGAACAACAGAGATGCAGAATAATTTACTGGAAAATTGTTAGATTTTTGTTAACCAAAGTGCTTCCACACAAGGATTTGGAGCTTCTTTGATGGCAGTTTGGGACTTCTTCATCCAACAAGTTGGAGAGCTGAGCTCTTATATTTCCTGCTCAACAGTTGTATAGTTGAAACCACAGCAAAGTGAAACTTTATTGAAGGGAAACACTGCCCCCAAACTCTTCTCCCAGCGCATAATTCTCCTTCTCATGAAATGGATGAGGAGATTTTTGTTGCTGCCTAACCTGCAGCAGCTTAGGAATGGGCAGCTATTTTTCACTCCTCATTGTCTGCATTTCAAGATGGCAAAAGTGAAAACAACCACAGATTATGTTCAAATTGTGTCTATGAGTTTGGTTAGTGAAAAGAACAACAGTGTGGAAATGTCCTATTTGCAGCTTTTGTTTTCCTGTTATACAACAGCTGTAAATAATAATAATAATAATAATAATAATAATAATAATAATAATAATAATAATAATAATAATAATAATAATAATAATAATAATAATAATAATAATAATAATAATAATAATAATAATAATAATATGGAAGGGATCTTGGAGGTCATTTAATCCAACCCCCAGCTCGGGCAAGAAAACCCTATACCATTTCAGACAAATGGCTCTCCAATCTCTTCTTAAAAACTTCCAGTGTTGGAGCATTCACAAGTTTGGGAGGCAGGTTGTTCCACTGATTAATTGTTCTAACTGTAAGAAATTTCTCCTTAGTTCTAGGTTGCTTCTCTCTTTGATTAGTTTCCATCCGTTGCTTCTTGCCCTGCCTTCAGGTCCTTTTGTTTAAGATTCATCCTCCTTGAACAATACATCCTTTCCATATACCTGCTTAGTGACTTATAAAAACTCAAATAAGCAAGACTTGTTAATCTTCATTTGTTTGTTTAAATTCTAGACAATTCTATATAGTTCCATGGGACAATTCTAAACGCTACTGGGCAGCAGAATTTCTCTGACTCCAAAAAAGATAATTCAGTGTAACTCGAGCATACTGTTGTTTGCTTTCATTGTTTGTTTGGTATATAAACCATTAATAAACAATGGCTTATTTGGCCAGCATTTAATATGTTTTTCCATTTTTTAATTGGTCTTATTGTCATAACTATGGATTGGTTATAGGCTTAGGTCAGGCATGAATGAGAGAGATGAATTAAATGTGAGACAGAAGTACTAACCAACAATTGAAGCCTGTAAGTCAATAACAAACCATGTTTCATTTATTGACCCCATTTGCACTTTTGGCACAATGTGTGAATGAATCTATGAAGAAAACATATTTGTCTTATAAGTCTCTGCTCAAGTCTTATTCATAATTTTACCTTGAAGACTTTCAGTACTGTTTTGAGATATAGGCAGAATATCTATTCCTCTCTTCAGCCATTCATTTTTCAATAACTTAAGCGCATGAACCTTGTGTTTAGCAGGCACCAATCTAATCCCAACTCTTTTTGTGAGTACACCCAGTAGAGTGCTTCTAACCAGCATGGCTCCATAAACAACTATATGATAAATTGAAAGACAAAAAGGACCAGTATAAAAAGTGGAAAGAGGAGCACTTAACTAAGGCAGAATATCAGCAAATAGCGCGAGCCTGTAAAGATGGAGTGAGGAAAGCTAAGGCTCAAAATGAACTAAGGCTTGCAACAAAAGTCAAAAATAACAAAAAAAAGTTTTTTTCAACATGTAAAAAACAAGAAAAAGGTTAAGGAAATGATTGGTCCACTAGTGGAAGAAAGTGGCAAGAAGGTGACAAGCAACAGGGAGAAAGCAGAACTACTCAACTAGTTTTTTGCATCCGTATTTACACAAAGGGGAAAAAACAATCCAACCTATCAAAAACAGTACCATAATTAGATTAGAAACACAAGTTAAGATAGGCAAGAAAATGGTAAGTGAGCACCTGTCCACCCTAGATGAGTTCAAATCACCAGGGCCAGATGGTCACTACACCCCAAGGTTCTGAAGGAACTGGCAGATATGATCTCAGAATCCTGAACTATATCTTTCAAAGATCCTGGAACACTAGGGAACTACCAGAGGACTGGAAAAGAGCTGATGTAGTTCCCATCTTCAAAAAAAGGGGGAAAAATGGATCCAGGAAACTACAGACCTATCAGCCTGACCTCAATACCTGGAAGATCTTGGAAAAGATAATCAAGCAACGAATCATTGAACACCTAGAGGCAAACAAAGTCATTACCAAAAGACAGCATGGGTTTGTCAAAAATAGATCATGCCAGACAAATCTTATTGCATTCTTTGACCAGGTGACAAAATTAGTGGACCAGAGGAATGCTGTGGATATAATTTACTTGGACTTCAGTAAGGCATTTGATAAAGTAGACCACAACGTACTACTTGATAAGATAGAAAAATGTGGGTTAGATAGCATCACCACCAGATAGGTTCGTAGCTGGCTGACCAGCTGTACTCAGCGTGTGGTCCTCAATGGAACTTTATTTACATGGAAGGAAGTGTGTAATGGGGTGCCCCAGGGCTCTGTTCTGGGCCCACTGCTCTTCAACATCTTCATCAATGATTTGATGAGGGAATAAATGGGGAACTCATCAAATTTGCAGATGACACTAAGCTGGCAGGAATAGCCAATACTCCAGAAGATGGGCTTAAGATACAGAAGGATCTTGACAGACTTGAACATTGGGTGCTATCTAATAAAATGAAATTCAATGGTGAAAAAAGTATGGTTCTACATTTAGGCAAGAAAAACCAAATGCAAAGGTATAGTTTAGGAGGTACCTTGCTCAATAGTAGTAACTGTGAGAGGGATCTTGGAGTCCTAGTGGACAATCACTTAAATATGAGCCAGCAGTGTGCTGCAGCTGCCAAAAAAGCCAGTGCTAAGCTGCATTAACAGAGGGATAGAATCAAGATCATGTGAAATGTTAATACCACTTTACAATGCCTTGGTAAGGCCACACTTGGAATACTGCATCCAGGTTTGGCCACCACGATGTAAAAAAGATGTTGAGACTCTAGAAAGAATACAGAGAAGAGCAGCAAAGATGATCATGGGACTGAAAACTAAAACATATAAGGAACGATTGCTGGAATTGGGTATGTCTAGTCTAATGAAGAGAAGGACGAGGGGGGACATGATAGCAGTGTTCCAATATCTCAGGGTTTGCCACAAAGAAGAGGGAGTCAAGCTATTCTCCAAAGCACCAGAAGGCAGGACAAGAAGCAATGGATGGAAACTAGCCAAAGAGAGAAGCAACCTAGAACTAAGGAGAAATTTCCTGACAGTTAGAACAATTAATCAATGGAACAACTTGCCTCCAGAAGCTGTGAATTTGTCTGAAATGATATAAGGTTTCCTGCCTGAGCAGGAGGTTGGACTAGATTACCTCCAAGATCCCTTCCAATTTTTTTTTTATTATTATTATTATTGTTGTTGTTGTTGTTGTTGTTGTTGTTGTTGTTGTTGTTACCCTTTTCACTAAAAAGTTCACTTGGTCCTCACTTGGTAAAATAGATACTGGTGGTTTTTTTTTAAATTTTAATTATTTATATAGGTAGACTTACAACCACAATTGTGCCCAGAATTTCTATTGCTAATCAACACAATTGCTAAGTGAATTTTGCCCCATTTTATGACCTTTCTTGCCACAGTTGTTAAGTGATTCACTTCAGTTGTTAAGTTAGTAATATGGTTGTTAAATAAATCTGGCTTTCCCATTGTCTTTGCTTGGCAGAAGTTCACAAAAAGTGATCACATGACCTGGGACACTGCAGTAGTCATAAATACATGCTGGTTGCCAAGTGTCCGAATTTTGATCACATGATGATGAAGACGATGCATTCAGTGCCTATTGTAATTTTTAATGGTCACTAAATGAGGACTATCTGTATTGCATTTTTCAGGATGCCAGTTTTTACTATATTTGTATAAGCAAATATAGTAAAAATATAATAAACTTTCTGAATCAAACAATCAAGCTTCTGTGATCTTTTCCCCATGCCTTTGGTGGCAATGGTCTTATGGGACATGAAGAAGGATTCAGCTTGGTTTCCTCTTCTTAGATCAGATTTTTAATATCTCGATTTTTAAACCCATCATTTTAATGTGTTTATACATTTTCTGCCATAAATTTACTTCATTTTTATTTTGTAACTGTTTATGTTTTTATGCTGTTTGAATATAGTGTGTTCATCTATTGTATACCTCTGCAACTCTATTGAGATAATAGAAATATTAAAATAAATAAACTATTTTTTAAAATTTTTCATACTTTAATTACTTATGGCATTTACTTTACTTTGATATCAGTAATGTAAAACACTATTCTTTTTATGTTTGCAGAACTGAGAAAATTAATAAAATTCAGATTATCCCTGGAAGTTTAGAAATTGCTGTTGATTGGCTGCCGTTGGAGTATCCAAGTAATGAACTTATTTTATAAAAAGTCTACAATGCATAAACCGTCCAAGAAGAGAATGCAAGAGATTGTTCTTTATAATTTATGTGCTTTAAATTGATTTTGTGGTTGCTGTACTCAAGAGCAGAGTTTAGGCAGGAGATCAAGAGACATATAGATTTTACCTTGTTAATAATTTGGCAGTTAAAATCATGGTACTATGCATAAAATATATTATGGGATTTGCTAATGAAAGGTGGTTAGAAAGACTATCCTTTCTACCTCAAAATGTGCTTTGTGAATTATCATATTTTATATTTTGTCATATATTTCTAGAAGTGGGATACTAATTTAAGAAATACTTTTCTAAATTTCTTAAATATAAACTAAAATACTGGCGTGATTTCCACTGTTAATCAGATTTTTCCATTTCAACTTTCAATTCCAGTTAAATATATGTGATAGAAGCTTTGTGGCTCAAAAAAGCATTGTATATTATTGCATTCCTCCACTGGAGAGATGCATGTAATAAACAGAATAAAGAGTGGTGAATTTCAGTGGCCATTCTCCTCTCTTATGTAATCATGGTACACCTTCAAAAAGTTAGTCCTAATGGTTATTTGGAACAATGTGGAAATTATACATGTGGCAACAGGGAAAAGAAGAAATTTCTCTTCCTGCATTCTGCTGATAGACACCTGGTGATATCCATAAGTCAGTTTTATATATATATAAATATATATCATTATGTAATTGGCTGATCATTGCTTGAAGTAATGGAGTAACTATTGTTGGAAAAGGGTCCCAAAGGATAGACGCTCTGGTGCACTCATTGACTTGTCAGATTGCAGTCTTTTTTAAAAAGGCAATATTTTGCATTCTAGTGCATTCATAGATTTGCCAAATTGCAGTCTTTTAAAAAAAGACAATATTTTAAATAGTAAATGGATTTTTCTTTTGTTTTCTTTCTCCAGACTCTATAACATCATCTTTTATACCAATCAAACCGTTCAATAATATCAAGAACCATCAACCAACAGTAGAAGTGGAAGAATTTGTTCAAGAATCTACAAAATATTCTCAGGCTTATAAAATATATAAAAACCAAATGTATATCTATCCCAAACATCTGAAATACGATAACCAAAAATGCTTCAACAAGGTATGGCCATGAACAGTACAACAACCAAGCATTCTTTGGCATGTTTACTTAAAAATAGGCTTCATAAGTTCTATAGGCAATTTGGAATACAGGAATACTTATGATCATTTGTTTAATCACCACGCAAAGTTACAATAGCACTGAAAAAAAGTGCTAGGACTTAAGGCCAGTCCTCATACTTACAACCAATGCACCATCCCTACAGTCACATGATCAAAATTTGGATGCTTGATTCCCACCATGTATTTTATGACAGTTGCAATGTCCCAGGTTATGTGACTGCCATTTATGTCCTTCCCAGATGGCTTCCAACAAGCAAACTTAATGTGTTCAGCCAGATTCACATAACAACTGTGTTATTCACTGCAGTGATTCATTAACAACCATGTCAAAAAAGATTGTTAAATCCGACATGACTTACATAATAACCATCTTGATTAGCAATGGAAATTCTAGCCCAATTGTGGTCATAAGATGAGAACTCCCTGTTTAATATTGGAGTGGTTTATCCTCTGGGTTATCCTAGCGAGAGAACAGTAGGTAGGCAAAAGGAATAGTGATTTTTCTGATTCATTTGTTAATTGTTCTCTATTGAAGAGCATCATATTGTCTTTGAAATCTCAGTCACCTCTAAATGTTTATATTAAAACAGCCTGGTTGGTTTTATTGCTTGTACATGAATTACTATTCCTGGTGGACATTTTTCTCTTTTTGCTTTCCTCACATTAACCTTTCATGCCTATTTCAATATTAAAACTGAATGGCAATAGAGTAGGTACTATAATGTAATGGAATATGTACTAGTGATTCATATTTTCAGAAAAATAGGTTTCACTGAAAACCTGGGACTTGTTTCAAAGCCATCCACATGAAAATTAAACAGAATTGCAGTTGTGCAGTTTCTATTTTCTATTTTTTCTTGTTTTGTTCTTCTATTTTTTCCTGTTCATGTTTATATGCATATACATGCACATGTTACTTTGAAGTTTTCAGGCTTCAATCTATTTTCATATATGCTACATTCTTAAACATATTTACTTTTCAAATAATCCAGCTGACCCTGAAGTTTCAAGAAGAAGTTAAATCTTTCCATTTTCCACTCTGAATTTATTTCACTTAAGGGCTTTACTCTCAGCTGGCAATATTGTGACAGTTCTGGAAAAGACTGTATGTTTCACAGAACTTTTAAGTGGAAAACTAGTGATCTGTATTTACATTTGTATTACAGGCACGGAATATAACAGTATGCATTGAATTTAAAAACTCAGATGAAGAAGAAGCCAAGCCAGTGAAGGTGAGTCAAGATGAATTCCAGCTGCAGCATAATGTGGTGGAGCAGATTTCCTTGTATACCATGTAGTGAAGTGATTGTGAGCTACACTTTTACAAAATCATTAGTCTAATAATTTTTCCCAACATTTCTATAACAGTGGTTTATAACAGCTATCAATGCAGGGCTTGTCTGGCAAATGCCAGTTCTGCTGTGTGGTCACTGACAAGATTTTATGCAACATGATGAAATGGAAAATTCTTGATAAATCTCAATGTTCTTTCATAACCGAGGTAAACATCATGTTGATGAAAGTGAATGATCAGCCGGAGAAATGCCGAATTCAGGCATTCTGCATGTGTGAATGCACTGATAATTGTCATTAGCTTCTGGGTTTCAGAGAACTATATAAGTTCATCAAAGATTTTTTGTGTTCCTACCATTTTTTTTTTTTTGGGTGGGGTGGGTAGATGGAGGCTATTGCTAGAAACTGCTAAGTAAAGATATTAGTAATAGTTATTTAACAAGTAAATTTAAGAAATAAAGTAATTTTACTAGTTTGATTCTTGTCATTTTGACTTCTGATGTAGTTCTATTCTCCTCTTTGTCTATTAAAAAAATACCATGTATACCGGTTTTTCACATTCTGTGTACAATCATGTAATCTTACACAATGGCCTGGAAAAAAATCTCCCCTCCAGTTTTTTGTTTTTTTTAATGCTCCAAAATCTTGTGAGTTTGCTTGTCAGATCTTTTTTGGCATTCTCCATTTGAAATCTCATGAGATTTCAGACATTTTTAATTTTTTTATATGTTTTTGGCCCAAAGGTTCCGCGATGCTATGAGGCTGAAAAAGTCTTCTAAGATATGACTTCAGAATCAGTTATTTCTAGTAAAGTCCACAAAACTTAAAGCAATGTCTCTTTAAACAGTGTATCTATGGGAAGCCTGGTGGACCACTATTTACCTCAGCAGCTTATACAGCTGTGCTACATCATTCACAAAACCCTGATTTCTACGATGAGGTCAGTTTTCTCTTTCTGTAATTTTATACATGCTGTTATAATAGACAAGTATATCAAGGATACTTTTGAAAAAATAGGTTGTTAAGGACTTTAGTGAATTATTTGTAAGTGAGGACAACCATTCAACTCCATAATATCTCTTAAAAACTATTCTCAGAGCAGAATAACTCAACACCCTGACCGATAAGAACAGCTAGGTCTTCAGTTGCTTTCAAAAATCCATCATGGTAGGTGTCATCACCTTTGGGAGAAAGATATTCTATAGGGCAAGTGCTATGACAGAAGACATGCTTCCTGTATTCCATCAGATGGCATTATGTGATAGAAGCGATTCAGACCATGCAAAATCTGTTGACAGGGAAGGATTTTAGTAAGACACAGATAATCACAGAAATAATATGTCTGAATGCTACAAAGAGTATTTATTTGTTTGTATTTTATAAATAGCTCAAGGTATCAAAAATATCCAACACAACTTCGTCCTCCCATTTTCTCACAACAACAATCCTGTGAATGGGTTGGGCCGAGAGAGAGTTACTGGCCCAGCTGCCTTTCATGACTCACCCAGCTGCCTTTCATGACTCAGGCAGAACTTGAACTCACAGCCTCCCGCTTTCTATCCTGGTGCCTTAACCATCAGACAAACTGACTCTTGTATATAGTAGAAGAGTGTAAATGTGACACATTTCCTCAAATTTTCAAACTGGTTTTTAGATAAAATGATATAACATGGGCATGCTGGGGCGAATTGCAGCTTCCATATTGAATATTTTGCAGTTATACAGACAGGGTGGACTAGGGAACAAGCAACCATGAACAGAATCATACAATCCCAGGACTGGTTGAGTTCAATGATTTCATGTAAATGTTAAATAGGAGTGGGAAGAAGATAGAGTGCTAAGTAAACCTGAAAGCCAGGTGCCTAGGATTTGATCTTTTCCTCCACATACTGAAGTGAATGGACCACCTTGGAA